TTCAAATATTTCTTTTAATGTATTTTTCCTTTCAAAAGAAGCCTGGTAGGTGGTTCTATGGAAGGATTTGCCCTCTTGAGAAAGTTCATTAAGACTGTCAGATAGCTTCTTGCATGGCTAATTTCCAACTCTCCATTAAACTTGACCTCCACAGCAATAACTAGATATGCCTAATCAGAAAAGACTGTAAATTGAGAAAAGGTGAGAAGGCTTTCATGTCTGTTGCAGGGACCAACCTGTTCTTTAAAGCAAGAAGTTTGCAAAACCACACGTTACAGCTATGCTGTTGGAGTATGAGCCAAAGCGTATTGGGGGCACTTGCCGCAACGCTTGCGAGCATCGTTACGTGACTAATTGTCATGCAGCAGGTATACTCAATAACAAAGTGTTAGTGCTTAGCATAAAAAGGTTAACATGAACAAAAGTTACCCTCTTAGGATGAAAGGAGCTTCTGGCTTCTTAAAAAAAAAAAAAAAATAAAAAAAATACCATCACTGGCTACTGTGTGCTGTTTATCTTCAACGGAATAGAGTTGCAGAGGAGAAAGCAGGACTTGGTGTAAAAGTAATAGGTGACGGAGAGCGACACAGGACAGAACACACCAGAACTACCAGAGCGCCTTGTTAACGCTGTCGTTTTCACACAGCTCTACTGAATCAGTCACAAACAAATTTCTACAGTCTGTGGGCTTTGTTACCACTGCTGGCTATGGTTCAGCGCTGATAAAAATAAAATTGAATGTACACTATGTGCACTCTGTGGGAGGATTCTTTTAGTGCCAACGGAAGCATTGTCTGTTCGTCTTTGAAGAAATACAACATTTGCTACTAAGGAATGAAAATAGAACTTTCCTAAATTACACAAAAAAAGAAATTATAAACCAAATGGCATCACTGTTGGTCTTAACATGATGTAGGACACACTTACACAAAATGTCTTCATGCACTAAATGCCTTCAGCAGTATGCCTTCTAAGAATAAGAGGGTTTTTTTTTTTAAGAGGATTCAGTGTTGATTTAATGAAAGCGTTTAGGCCAGTGTTTTGTTAAAAGCTAGGTTGACTACCCTTAATAAAAAATAAAGTGTCACTCCATGGTTACTGTATTACAAGCAGATGACAGTAGTGAATAATGAGATGGATGATTCTTTCAGTTTTTCCTGCTAGAAATAAAGGATTTAAACATCCTCTTATTTTCGAGAGGTGTCATGGGAGGAGTTGCAGAGCAAACTCGGCATGTTCCATCCCTTGGCTCTCGGACGCGTCTTCCAAAGGTGCCGAGGTATGGCTGCGTTTCGCACCACCGCTGAGATGCATCCAGCTGACAACCGACACGCACGCAACCAAGTGCTCTCAAAACCAGCCCTCGGGCAGCAGGGCTGCAGCAGCCGTGGCCTCTCCGGGGCAGGGTGTTTGTGAACATCTGTTCTTGGTGAATGCCATCATTATAATTCCACTGTATTGCCTACAGGTTAGTTACGAGATCTTCCAGAGCTTACTCGTTTATGGAAAAGGATGCCAAATGAATTGGGCTCGGCCATTCTCTTGTTGTAACTTTTTAGCTTACAACATTTGGGAAAAAACCCATGATATCATAGAGGGGTTATCTCTGGTAGCAAGGGGGAGTAAATGTTTTCTTTGTTTTGCTCTGGAGCACCAGTGGCCGCTGCGAAGGACAGCGGGTGCAGAGCTAGCTTAAGCAGGTAATCCAGGGCCTCCCAGAGAAGCTTTTGGGTACCTTGCCGTTTATCACACAGCTAACTCTGCCTTGCGTTTCCTGGGCATCTTCTGAGCAGGGTAATAGTACTCGTGTCAACAAAGCTTTACACCTCTGTTCTGGAGGAGGTGAAGCTTGGAGGCGCTTGTATCTCGGGTTTGGAGGATCTCTGGATCTTACCCGGGGAGAATGGCGCTTACCCTGAAAGCTGAAGAGGCTGAGATGCAGAATCTTGGCTTCATCCTTCCGTTTCCCGCTAGAGTGGCAAGAATCATCTAAGTACCAGGACACATACCTATCTCTTGGAAGTAAACTTCCCTGATTCTAAACTAGCACACATGTAAATAGCTAGTTTTACTTTAATCGGCAGAAAATATGCTTTGTCAGCTGCGAAGGGTGCTGCAGTAAGAACTGATCTGGCTGCAGTACCTTTACAATGCGGGGTGTGCATGGAGGAACAGCAACCACTTCTTCAGCCATCAAGAATAAAATATAATTGCATATAAAGCGCAGGATTTTAATGTAATTGTCTGGGGGAAAACGTGCACTTGTGAGTTGGAGGGCTTTTAAAGGGAGGGGGAAAAAAAGCTATTCCTGAGTATAAAAACTATTGTACTGTGACCTGATGTCTACCAAACTGTTGCAGTATTATTCTCCACAGATGATAAATTTCTGAGCCGGTAAGTCACTCTTCATTTCTTTCAAATCTAGACCTCTACAGATCTCTGCTGTTTATACATGAAATACTCTAGGACTCCACGCTGTAGATCCCATCAGTCTGAAGGCAGTGAGTTTTTCTAGATGTGTAGTTCATCAGGAACTGGTTATTTCCCAGTCCTCTTCCTGCAAATACATTACATAGGCACTCGGAGTTCCTTTTGGACAGCTGAGAATTGAGTAATAGCAAGGGGTTTCTTGCATCAGAATAATGATGAGGGAAAAATGGATGAGTTTCAGAAAAAGCGTGAAAATCTTGTCTTGAACGCAGCAGTCCAAATCCTGAAACGCACTGAGCCTGTCCTTAGCTCATGGACATGGTGAGCATTAGGAGTTTCAACAAAATGCTGAGCAGCTCTTGGATTTGGGGCTTAATAAACAACTGTTACTTGGATGTTTGTTCTTTTTAGAAATTACACCGGTTTCCACATTATTTATTCTGCTGATTGGCTTCTCTGGATCGCTTTTGGTCTGGACGAGTAAGTCACAAAACTGGCAAGAGGCGAGCTTGCAAAATTTAAAGTGTCAGACTTCCCATAGACCAAAGCTGGTATTGCTGACACTGTAACTCGTGCTGCTGTTGTGCGATGGATCCGCACCCTCTGCCAGTCAGAGAAAAGCCGCTGGTATCGGGTACCACCATACGCACTGGTGGCAAGGACAAATTGACGGAGGATCAAAAGTAACTAAGGAAACCCTCTTGGCCCTGGGGTCCTTCTACAGTAAAAGAATAAACCCTACCCTGCAGAAACGGGTACCTCGGGGTTTCGTTTATGCATAGGCAGCACTTGTTTGAGGGCAGCGTTTCTGGTTTGGGCTGGGTTTCTCGTCCTGTGAAGCCAAGGCTCGCAGTACCCGGTGGGTGCGGCGGTCCCCCGAATCACGCGGCACAGTAACAGGGGTGTCTCCGGACTGCTGCCCTCCGGAGGGCCTTCGGCTGTGGGCTGGAGGAGCATTCGGTGGATTACCTTGGAATACGTGCTGCATTCTGCTTTGCGTAGAAGCAGCTACCGTAATGCAGCTCGTCGCTGTTCTTTGTCCTTGTCCTGTCTCGCGCTCCCCCTGTATACCAGATGTACGTGCTCTCAACCCCGCGTTAAAATGTTAAGGCTTGAGGTAAACCTTGTAAGGTCATTTTATCCGTTCCCTGACACTGCTGCAGCATAAATGTTGATGCGTTTGTTTGCTGATTCGCCTGCCGCTTCTGACAGAGGGTTGTTGAGCCTTGCGCGTCCTGTGTGATGGAGCATCCCCAACTTTCCGTGACATCTGGCTCAGTTGTTTTGCTGTTCTTTTCTGCAGTTTATTCTGGGCATTGTTTGCTTAGTCGAATTGGAGTTACTGTTTGTTTCTTCATCGGTGCTTTATCATGTTACTGTTTCTGTAGGCTTCGCGTAACTTTTTTTTCTTGTAGTTGAAGACTGATTGCAGTGTATCGTCTGGGCTGCGTTCGAATGAGAAGTTTGGGGAGGGGAGGCGGCGCCTTCGAGGCCATTGATCCCATCTTTATAACTTTGCCCTTTTAGCTAGGAACAGATTATTTGCACAGGGGTTCAAGATTGCACAGGTGGAAGGACCAAACTTTGCATAAACCATTTATACTAAACGTTGGGAATGCTGGCAACATAAATCAACTACAATATCTATTACAAATTTATCACTTTATCAGTATTATCTTTGATAGAAGTGGCTCAAACACGTGGGGGAGTGAACCGTACCTCAGGAAGTTTAGCCCTCTCGTAAATTAATTATTCAGGACACACAGAGCCTGGCCCCTTCAGTGTATAGTAATTCTTCCTAGCCAGCATCCAGGACTTTAACTTCTGTGGCGATAATAAATAGGAAAAGTCTCAGGTGAAGCCAGTATTTCAAAGTAATTAATCATCTTCCCCTCGTGGTCCCTCCGCCTCTCTCTTGGTTTCTTTAACGAGGGAATTTCAGTAATAAATCTTTAATGATATATGTTAAGAATCCTTCATTAATTCTTGTCTACTTATTTCTCTTTTTTTGATGCTTTTACGTTGTATGTTGGGAAGTTAAAATGCATATACAAGAAAAAACAGTTATAGAAAGCTGATCATTTGGCACAGCCTCTGAAAGGTTGTTTCTTGGGTGTTGAACGTTGTGTGGTACATTTGCTAGTAGGAACTGTTGGTTAATACCGGTTGGACTGTCAGACGAATACTTAGATACAGTTACGGAATTACAGCACGGTTGCACAGGGAAAGGTAAAGAAAAAAGTGATTCGTCCTCTCCTAAACTGGAGGTGAACGCGCACTAATCCCCGGTTTCATGGCGTGCGAAGGCTGTGGCACGTCTATAGGCTGGGATGCTACAGACGCCGTGTGGGGAGCGCAGCTAGGCGCGCTGCTGCCAGCGCAGCAGTCGGGTGCTCCGGCGCAGCGGAGGGGATGTATCTTTAAATAATTCTCGTTAGACGCGAGCAGCCATCACGCCTATTCGATGTGACAGGGACAGATGTGACAGATCGGTTCTGACACACTTCCATACCACAAGTCCGTGGCTGGAGGTGACTGGTGTCCTTCCTCCGGTCCCGTCCCCGCTGCAGGACAGCACAACGACGCACGGATGAACCTCGCCATCGCCCTCACTGCTGCCAGGTACGGCGCTGCCACGGCCAATTATGCTGAAGTGCTGCGCTTGCTCAAGACGACAGACCCGGCCAGCGGGAAGGAGCGCGTGTGCGGGGTGCGCTGCAGGGACGTCCTAACAGGTGCGTGCCTTCCCCGCGGCGCCGAGAGGCGCCGGGACCCAACGGCGGCCTCCTGCCCGCCTTCGCCGGAAAAGGAAGCGACGGCCTTCCGCAGCGGGCTGCGCCGGGCCGCGGTGGAACAGAAAGCGCAGCGCTTCAGGGGAGCGCGCTCTCTTCGTTAAAGAAACACGGAAATAATGAAACGAGGGGGGAGCGGGGAACACCGCTGTTTGTAAATAGCAGTGAACCGACAAAGGAGCCATCTTCCCAGAGTGCAGTGGCATACCATTAGTGTCAATCATCTTTAACTTCTGTCAGGTTTTTCACTCAAATCCTAGTGTTTTGGCAGGGTAAACTAAGCTCTACATCCAAACCCTTCTGTCAGGCAAAGACGGTAGTGCACAATGCTACGTGCTGTACAGTAATAATCCCATTTACCAAGCCCTTGGGTTGAGACTGAAATCTCTCTTGTTTGAGAGGCCGATTTCAGCTGAACAACTTCTACCCAGTCTGCCACCTTCTGCCTTTACAGATAAGGTGGAATTTCACTGTAAAACATTTCCTTTCCAATCTGGTGTTACCTGAAAACGCTGTTAGTTTTTAAAAACCATTCCAGCTGTTCTGTTCAGAGGAGCACGATATACTTTACAGTAGGTTAAGCTCATAGATAGATTAATAATAGAGAGTGTCAGTGAGCAGGAAAACAAATGGCGTACGTGATTGATACTGTTTTCTTTCACAGGGCAGGAATTTGATGTCAAAGCCAAATGTGTTATCAATGCTACGGGACCTTTCACAGACTCTGTGCGCAAAATGGATGATCAGGAAGTACCCAACATCTGTCAGCCAAGCGCGGGCGTGCACATTGTGATGCCTGGTTATTACAGGTAACGACATTCAAAGCCTGAACCATTTGTAACAATCTCTGCTGGTGCCTGTAATAAATAAGCTTGTGGAGACGCATTTGTGGGTTTTACAGTAGTTTTGAATGCATGATTTGATTTTTTTTTCTCTTTTTTTCTTTTTTTAAAGAGGATTCTTGCTGTGCCGATTAGAACAATTTCATATATTCAGAAAAGACTGAAGTCTTATCCTGCTGAAGCAGAAGGGCGTTTAGGCAGAGCATCTACAACAGACGTGTGAAAGGCGCCTTTTTTAATAGTGCGTTTGAGTCGAGCGTACTGACTGCTTGTTCACTGCCCTTAAGAAAAAAGATGCATATAAAGCCTTCCAGAGAGGCTGCCACCTTCATACAAAAACTCTTGTCCTATTAAATATCAGACTCTCTATGCAATACCTCTGCCACTGTACTCTGCCACGTTGCAACTCCACTCATAGCAAATATGAATGCAGCACGTAGGCAATGTCATAAGGAGTTGAAAATAACACGATTAAATTCTGCCGCTGCTGCGGACACAAGCCCACCCGCCCGTGGTTGTTTTGGTGGCAAGGCTTGCCCCCCTCTGCTGCCCCTGTTGCAGAAGAGGTTCCCGTGGCACTCTGCGAGCGTGCTCTCTGCAGACTCCTGCTTCTTCCCGTATTTGCTGCTGCAAAACCAAATCCCCTTCTACCAAGTAAGCCTTGTCACTTGAAGCTCAAATATTACCTTTGGTTTCTGAAGTCATTAGCATCCTAATGGAAATTCACATTTGTAGACTTATCCCAATTCTGTTGATACAGTGCACTTATAATAATGCCTTCCATATCATCATTGCGCTCCTCTGTGAATATAAATTTAGTCTTCCAGTGCACAACATGTTGTTTTTGCTAGAGCCATCCCAATAGGACACGACCATAGACAGGAAAATTGAGGCATTTTTGGCCTAGTGTAAAATCACTCTTGCATTTTGTTCTTTTTTTGGTGTCTTTCACATGAAAAATGGGAAAATGACCTGATAGCTGCTTTAAAGCACTAGCAACGTGGAGAAATGGGTTGCAATCCTAGTTTCCTCATATACTATGAGAAGCACACGTGTTGATTGACTTTACAGCCCTACAGCAAAACCACGGAAAGTTTTGAAAAAGGTTTGAACCACTTTGTAAATTCGAAGTAGAAGATGGCTCGATATGCGTGAGGGCTCTAATTTATTTATTTTGCAATAACCTAATAATTTTAACTGGAAATGTAGAGAATTCTTGTTCTCCTTGTTCCTCTGTGTATGTCAGCATGTGGGCATTACTTTTCCTGTAAAATAGTATCTACCCACATACTGCCTCCGCAGTACAGCTGATTAGATAAAACTGTACCGAACTGCCTTGAAGTGGGATGGCTTAAACCAAAGAACTGTCTGCTAAATGGAAAATACTTGTGGTATTTAATCTTAGTCGTATCAAGTCTTCTCCTAGTGCCAAGGACTAATCCTCAACAAATGAAGATTGTCATTTCACTGCGTCCACTTGCCTTGTGGTAAATGTTTGGTAGAATTTTGGCCCAGACTCACACAAATGAAAATTTTATAATAGGTAGAGATTTTTAGATGTAAACATACTTAAGATTTTGTAAATCTAATGTTAACCTAATGCATTCATTTCCCATGGGTTTCTTACTCATTTATGTTCTTCGTTAATAGTCCCAGTATTCCTCCTCCCATTAATTCTGTTTTTAGCATCCACATATCTATTCTAGTAGCTGCAGTAAGTCTCTCTCACTCCCTATTGTTATCGTAAGTATCTGATCTGATAAAATGGGAGAGGATTTTGGCTCCCTGTGTTCAGATGGGCTTCCTGCCTGAAATGCGTCTACGACTGCAACACTTTTTCCCCTCCCTTCTGACAAATTTCAGATGTTTTCTGTCTTTCTTGCATTTTCCTGTCTGCTCTGCATTCCAGGTTCCAGGTGAACTTGTCTGTTAAACCTTAGTTCTACCCTATGGCAAGTCACCTATTTGCTCTTTAACTGCATCTGTGGTGCTTTGCTCAAATGCCTCCGGAGTCCCAGAACAGACAATACTTGGGTGTTAGGACGCTTGTTTTTGATGGGAAACACCTTATTTTTAAATTCGTTTTGGTGGCTCTCTCAGTTATTTCTATAAGATGGAATTGATCTAATTGAAAATACTTCAGTCCATAGGTGTCGTGGTGAAACTTAGTACGAGACTCGGTGGACAAGTCTTTACTTGTTTCTCGTCCTTATTTTTGACAGTTTTTATGAAATCACATTAAAAAAAAAATCATACTTTTGAGAAAATGTCTAAAGTTTTCTGAATATTCCGATACCGTATATTAAATCTCTAGTTTTCTCTGTCTCTAAATCAATAGCTTTTTCATTTTAAAAAGTAATCATTTGTCTGACGTGATTTACCTTTCACAAATCTGTGTTGACTTCCCCTATTAAATTGTACTTCTCCAACTGTATGCTTAAGCTGTCTATAAATATCATCTAAAAAATGTTCTAATATACATGCTATATATGAAATTTTCAGCTTCTCTTCTAGCCTTTCCAGATATTGAAAACTTACCTTCAGTAATCAGTTTAGACTTCCTAAAAATGAAATATTCAGTGATTCAGCTTGCGGCTCTGAAATAGGTAATTCATATCCGAGCAGGTCTTTGTCTGCCTTCAGCTTACTGTGTTCGTAGTTATTTGAGTCCCTTGGATTGCTCCCCTCTGATGGGCCTTATCACCACCTAAGTACATACCTCCTGTCCTCCTCCCGTACGCCTCCGATGGCCCCTTCCGTTATCAGGAGTAGGTGCAAAACCTGAAGACTGCCAGACTGACCGCAGATGTTTTTACAAGGGCTTCCAGCACCTGAAACGAGAGTGGGAAAAAAGGAGCAGCTTAAATGTTTCCCTACAAAAAAGCTGTTTACTTTGAAATGTTTATAGAAGCCTTTTGTTTTCTGAAATAGGAGCAGAGCTGTTTAATAATATCCTTATTTAATAAGGATAACTGGTTTTGTACATGTGGAATTTTTTTTTCTTTTTACATTATGCCAGGTAACATTTATACATCAGTTAAAATTTCTTGTATGAAGAACTACTGCTTTTTTTCATCTTCCTGAATCATTCTGTTTGTAGGACTGGCATAAATAAATAACAAAATCTCTGCATACTAGCATCCAATGAGTGGCTGTTAGTCATTATGGAGGCGATATCTTTTGCCTTTTTGTCCTTAAAACACAGTTCCTCGATCAGGAA